AATGTTGTGTTTGACGGGCAACATGTCCGGCACTGTCCGGCCACAATGCTAACTTTGCAGCGGGCGGCTGAGGAGGCAAAGCCACAGATCAACCGTCTCATTTTACCACCCCTCACCCACACGTCTAAACGAGGCCTAACAGAACTGTTGAAAGCTTTGTAAATATTTGCTGTCCACACTGATCTTATACAAGCTGGAGCCCACATGTACAAGGCCTAAGTGAACATCACCAAACATTGACATGAGTTTGCTCTCCGCAGTAGGTTCACCCAAGACCATCAACTTACAGAGCAGACATTCCTCCTTGCAAGCTTGATTTCTACTATAATGTGATGAATTAGTGTAGACCAGTTTGACATAACCACCCAAGGTGAACTGAAGATCAATGTAATGAATTCTACAAATCAACTTAAAACTGTTTTTATAAAGTTTTATTTTTAATTGATAAAATCTGTTGTATAACTTAAGCACTTTGATTTTCTGTGTGAGTTTTCCCAAACAACCAATCAAATTCCAACTGGATTTCCTCTAGTGCAGGGGTCAGCAACCCACGGCTCAGGAGCCGCATGTGGCCATTTTACCAAAAACGGCCAGGAACGCAGGCAAAAAACGCGGCACAACCCACTGCACTGCGTGTGCAGAAACCTGAGCGGATCTGCTCTGCATTTGGTGTGAACAAGGCCTTAATCCCATCACTCTAAACAATGGCCCCTCCGGACAGCCTGCTGCCTTTTAGAAAAATGGTTCACATCAAGTCAAATAGTGACAAGCTCTCCCCAGATAAAATATTAAACTGGAAAACACACACAGCACACAAAGTTCTTCGGGGCACTAACTCTCTGCAGCCCTAGGTCACACATAGCATAAAGGTACAAACCGATATATGCAATGCAGTGTTATCTTCATTTTAGATGTCAAAGGGGTTTTATGGCTCCCAGTGTTTTCTTTTCTGCGGGAAACGGGTCCAAATGGCTCTTTAAGGTTGCTGACCCCTGCTCTAGTGCATTATTAATGTCTTCAAACGATGGCTGTGTCAGCAAGGCCTAAGGATTTGCTAATTCTGACCACACGATCACTCTTAAATCATGAGGTCAGGAACGAGGACTACGCTCAACATTATACATCTTCTTTTGGTGTGGGATTCCTGATCATGTGAAGGACAGGTCTCTATTTGTAGATACTTGCATGTCACTGAGGTTTAGCTCACAGCATTTAATGATACTGCTGCTTAAAGCAGAACTCCAGGAATTAGCTTTTTATTAATGCTTGCATTGGTCCAGCTTGGCTCAATGTCAGTATACATATGCGAGCTGCAGAGGTCAATTAGGGATGTTGAGAATCACTGTAGTAGTCCACGATACCTACAGTAAAAGCCATGAGCTTCCGGCGGCTTCACCTCTGCACAGGGAGTTGCTCGCTCGGCACCTTTGCCTTTTAGAGAATGCCTTGTATTTTATCAGGCTTTCTCTGATTGAACAAGGTAGAGATCATAAAGTCATCCACCCCTCCTCTCGGCTTCACTGAAAAAAAATATAAGGTGTCCTTTGAATGGCGGCAGAGCCGAGTGGGTGACTCCCTGTGCCCAGTGTGCAGAGGGGAAGCTGCTGAAGCATACAGAACGCTTCATTACTTAGCCCAAGGATCACTTCAGGGTGTATCCATCTTTTGGTCCCCCGCTGGGCTCAATGACCCTATGTCTCTACAGGGTACAGTAATTAAGTGGCAGTGGCAAGGTGCTGTACAGTGGTTCACAAAAAAAGACCAACAAAATAAAACCTAGCCGTATCCCGGCACTAACTTCATAAACCAAGTCCTAACTAAGGGTGCCCACACACCTTGCGATAATCGCGGGAAATCCCGCGATCGTACGATTATCGTAAGGTGTGTGGAAGCCGTGCGACCTCTACTGCTGTAAGGTCGCACGACTTTTAACTTACGAACATGTTTGAAAACCCGCCGAGCATCGAACGATGTTCGGCGGGTGTGTAGCATGTTCGTAAGATAAAAGCCGGACGGGCCGATGCGCACACTGCCCGTTCGGCATCGCGGTCATCGGAAGCCCGCCCCTCGGGGGGGCGGCTTGCGATCATCGCAAGAACGATCTGCCTGTCCAAGATAGGCAGATCGTACGTTTTTTTAATTACCTTACAACCATCGCAAGACAAAAGTCTTGCGATAGTTGTAAGGTGTGTGCCCAGCATAAGAGGCTGAGCAGGCCTACCGCTTGTCAGCCTCCACATATACACCATTTGCTAGTTTTGTTACAAACCATGCAGCTCTCTCAGACAGGACTTGTCTGATCCCCAGGCAGAGAGCTCTGAGTACAGGTTCCAGGTGAGGTTAAATTGCCAGTGGAGAGAGGAGTAAACCCTGCACTTGAGTCCAGATCAGCAGTCCCTAAATGTATAGGAGAGGAACCTGGGAGACCTATACAGTAAACTCTGAACAGGACTTCCCCAGGCTCCCTCTGGGACGCTCTGCTACAGGTTCTATATAGCAAAGGTAGAGTTTCCTTTTAATAGGCATAAAGAGCATGCAAGGACATCAGTATGACTGAATGCTTCTTATTATTGCAATATCATCCTTGCCCTCAATAAACACTAATATGAAGTGTCAGATGCCAGGTTGTGTTAGAAACAAACCTGATTCCATTCCCACCCTTTAACACCTGCAGATCAGAGCATGCATCCCTAAGCTGCAATTCTAAAGCAATATAATTATCACCACATTCCAACAGCCAACGAGCCCATCAGCGGAAAAGGCAGGCCGCACATCACTTGGATCAGATTTACCAGCTATTTGTTATAATAAAAGGAAACCTATACAGAGAAAAATACAAAATGTTGGCTTTGCTTGGCTTTTCCTTCTGATGAGCATTTTGGTTTCATGACAGTGATTTAGAAACCATGGGACCATAATGGCAACAAGAGTACTAGTGTTTTCTGAAGAAGAGGCCATTATTGGCAGTCTCCATTTCCTTAGCTTTTCTTTTCTGCAGTGGTATTGTCCTTCTAGAGGGCAGCTCAGTGTTTTTGACCAGTTCTATTTTGGAAATGTTCAGCAAAGCAAGGAACAAGCTTTTTTCCCCCATTCATAGATTGTTTTGCAGCAGAGCAATGTCACGTATGGACGGTCTAGGACAGGGGTCAACAACCCGCGGCTCCGGAGCCGGATGTGGCTCTTTCATCCCTCTGCTGCTGCTCCCTTTCCAGGGGAGGAACTACCGCAGGGCACACAGGACCTGGGGCTGGAGGGGGGCCCAGTTAGGTCCGGTCCTGGGCACCCCCCCCCCCCCCAGTGGAATATGGGGCAGTGCAGGGTCCCGGGGCCCTGCACTGCCAACGGACTTCTCAGCAAGGCAGCGGGTCCTGTGACTCACCTCCTCTCGTGGCCACGTTCCTAGTAACAGGCGGCGGGAGAGGAGAAGTGTGTGTCACATGCCCCCCCCCTTGCAGTGCACACCAGCTGGCTGTGAGGCCACTCACTAAGTTACTGGGGTGGAATGTGTGATCGCACTCACAGAGGCGGATAGAAGTGATATTTCAGGACCGATCAGCTGTTCCAGGGCAGGTTGGTTCTCCTGCACGTACAATTTGTGATGCCGATCTGCCCTGGAACAGCTGAGAAAGCGTTGGAATGCTTCACCTATTGGCAGTCACACATTCCACCGCCAAAAAACTGGGCGGGATTACGTTGAAATGTATGACCATATAATATGACATATTGTAACGTAGTCACAAACTTTGATACAACAGCGGCATCAGGGGGGTATTGCCGGTACTCATGTGAGGGGTCTGGGCAGCCTGGGGGGCCTCTTACATGAGTTTCAGCTGTACCAGGGGCGGCATGGCAGAGGTGACAGGGGAGGGGGTGGAGGAGGCTGGGGTAAGAAGAGTTGGGAGGAGGTACAGGGAAAGGGACCCCGGTGACCAGCCCACCTGAGGCCCTGAAGAGCCCGCCATAGAGAGTCTCAGATGGGCTGTGCAGCATGTATGATGTGCTCTGCAGGGTCACTATCAGGTGGGCTCTGCGGGGTTTCAGGTAAGCCCAGAGTCCAGTGCGTTACTAAGCCCAGAGTCCAGTGCGTTACTAAGCCCAGAGTCCAGTGCGCTACTAAGCCCACATATACCTATATACATTGTGAGATTTGGCTTCCAATGGTAGCGCATTAAGGACGCATCCACTCGCTTATGACTTCTTTTAA